GGCGGGGAAGGGAGTCCCTGCCGCCCGGAGGGGCCGAGGCGCTGGGAGCTGGGAGCTGGCCTGTGCGAGGGACGGACCGAGCGGTTGCCAAAGGCATCCAGGGGGTGACTCACTTGGGGGAAACTGGCCGAGCCCAGTGGGCCGGCAGCCCTGGCCGGAGGGAGGTGCCGGGACGCCTCTGCCCCGTCTACACTGCTGGTTTCTCTGGCAGCTCAGCCTGGGGTCGGCTGATGGCGGTTCCTGGGCGACCCGGTGCCAGCATCGGAGTCCGATCCACCTGGCGGCGCTTTAGGAGTGAAAGGGCTGTGGATGGGTTTGGTTTGTTTCTTACCGGAAGCTCGTGCCTTCAAAGATTCCCTTTCTGCAGGTGTAGCACTTCTTTTAAACTGAGAATGCCACCTTCCCTGCGCCCAGCACCTCGATTTTTGCGGCGGCTTTGAATTTCCCCACCCCGGGGTGCACACTGAGGCGGGAGGTTATGGGTAGGGACTAAGCTGGTGGCACAGATCCTCCTGGTGCCCGAGGTGACATACTCGAGCCTCCCCACTGAGCTGTGTGCCATAGGACAGGATGGCCATTTCTTGTCGTGGGCTTTAAATCTGGACCAGCTTCGGGAATGAGAAAAGGTGTTTCCTTTAAGTTCTCTTTTGTAAAACAATTCGTGAATTTCCAACTCCTGCGCTTCCCTATGTGGAAGATAGATGAGTGTAAATTCTTTGAGAGAGCAAGAGAGAGGAGCAAAACTTCACAGTCATGCCAAATCCTGAAGGTGTCACATCCATCCGCAGGATAACTTCTGCCACCATCGCATGGCTTTAAAGGTTGGATTCTTTCAGAACTTATGTTTGCAGAGCGTAACTTGGAAAAAGGGAAAGCCAAATGCATTGATGAAAAATTTGAGTCAGTGTCTCCAAGAGAGTTTCCCTTAACCTTGACTCTGCTCCTTCCACCCCATGATGCTGCAGGCCGCTGGTCGGTAAGGTGACAGACAAGCCTGGGAGAGACCAAGAGAAGTTTCTTACTTTCACTGTCTAGTTTTAAAACGCCCTTATAAGTGATGTGAGGGTGACATGAATAATTCACATCTGTCACCATCTGTCCTCCTTTTTAATGTTATAAGGAGAGCGAAAACATAATTATTTTTCTTGAGATTTGTTAGGACTAGACCAGGTGGTGTTAGGAGAGGGAGCTGGCGTTTGGCATGGTTGTTTATGTGGAAGCATGAACAGACTAGGTCATAATTATTGTTTCTCTTTTTAAAACAATTCTTACATACTAGTGTTATCTCCCTAATTGCAGACGTCTTACAGGGTATGTACTCTTGTACATCAGCTGGTTTTTAAAAAGCTGTTTAATTGCCCTAACCGGTTTGGCTCAGTGGATAGAGCGTCGGCCTGCAGACTGAAGGGTCCCAGGTTCGATTCCAGTCAAGGGCATGTACCTTGGCTGCGGGCACATCCCCAGTGGGGGGTATGCAGGAGGCAGCTGATCGATGTTTCTCGCTCATCGATGTTTCTAACTCTCTATCCCTCTCCCTTCCTCTCTGTAAAAAATCAATAAAAATATATTTAAAAAGCTGTTTAATTTACTTGTGTACTGGAAAATCAAGTTTTTCTTTTTTTGGAGATGGCTGGGAGCAACTTTCCTTGTAACACCCTCCCCCATCTTGCCTTCAATAAGAGGGGTGGGGTGTGACTAAAGTTAGTAACATTTAAATAGAATTTCCAATGAATAGTAAGAGGGAATGATAAAGGAAGGAAATTAAACTTATCTTTAGTGTCCCACATCTGGGCTCTGTTTACCAATTGTCAGGCAACTCAGTACACAGTTACCATTTTTCTCAGCCATCTTGAAGATCTCTCATATTTGCTTATAACTTTCAGAATATTATAGCCTAGAAATGGCTTATTTTTAGGTACCGTCTAAGAATTAGCTGGCTTGCTTGGGGGTTTAGTTTCCCATGAAGCATGACCCAAAAGTTGAAGTCTTACTCTTGTTCTTATGGAAAAATCTTTGAAATGATCAGGTCGAACAGTTCTTTGCTGTGCGGTAATTTCACACAGCTAGCTTACTTATTACAGTCTAGAAAAGACAGCAATAATAACAACAGCTAATATCAACATGGCACTTTACAGCATATACATTTTCTTCATAACTTCCGTTCATTCATTGAATAACAAATAGGAAATTTTACTTAAAAGTGTTCTTGTCATTGTATCTTTCATAGGAATAGCACAATACACCATTCTGCAAATGAATGTAGGCAAGTGTTTATTTTGAAACTGCTTATGCTTTGCACTGTGCTAGGAATGAGGGAGGTAAATTGGAGTGGATACTGGTCCTCAAGGGACTTACAGTCTGGCAGGGGGACTAAGACATGTACATAAGTAACTGTGCACAAGATAGAAGTGACGGGTAAAGGATGGGACTGAGTGACAGGAAGAGCTGATTGGAGGAAGTGAAATTGGAGCTGGCCCCTGCAGGGTAGGCAGGATTAAACTTATTCTAATATCTCCCTGTATACCACATTAAGAGTAAAAACACTTTCAGAGTGCATGACTAAATTCCCTTGTGATGAAGTATTTACAACTTTAACTTTAACGTCACATGCTCTTCGAACTTGAGAGAAAGCACCTGTAACTGACCATGTCTGAAAACGGGTTCAGGTAGGAATATTCCTACCCTGTCTAGATTGGTGCCAGTGAGAGCTTTATATGTATTGCACATGCGCGAGTCAACGTTTATTTTTAAATTGCCACTGCACGTCATATATACCGGCTGGTCGGTCGGAGAGTTGTTCAGTCAGAGGGACATACGGTTGGAGGGACATACTGTTGGTCACTTAGCCTTTTATATATATAGATTAGTTTCAGCTATATAGCATAGTGGTTAGATATTTATATAATTTACCAAGTGATGCCCCAATAATTCTAGTACCCACTAGCACCATACATAGTTATTGCAATATTATTGACTGTATTCCCTATTCTGTACTTTACATTCCTGTGACTATTTTGTAACTACCAATCTGTATTTCGCAATTCCTAAACTTTTTTCACCCAGTCCCCCAACCCTCCTCCCAGCTGACAACCCTGAGTTTGTTCTCTACATCTTCCAGTGTGTTTCTGTTTTGTTCATTTATATTATTTTATTTTTATATAATGTTCTTTCGCATGGTATTTGTCTTTCTCTGTCTAACTTATTTCACTTAACGTAATACCCCTACGCCCATCCATGCTGTCACAAATGGGAAGATGTCATTCTTTTTCATGGCTGAGTAATATTTCATTGTATACATGTACCACATCTTTATCCACTCATCTATTGATGGGCACATAGGGCTAATGTATTATTTATTAGCTAGATTTACAGGACACTTTCCCTCCAGTGAACTCAGGAAAAGGTATGGGTGTGCAGTGTATATATAGTTCAGTGCTGGGGACAATGACAGCAGGCCCTGCTGATGGCACAATCTTCCATGTTTGCACTCATAAAGTCCGGGATGAAGAAGCAACAGTAGCTAAAAATTTAGTTCTTCTATTGGTTTTTAGAACCCATCGTAATTATTTTAGATGAGCTTTCAACAGAAGGGAAATGCCAAGTGCTAAGAAGACTTTTTTTACTTTTAGGTCACAGGAGGCTCCAGTGGCATTGGAAAGTGCATTGCTATCGAGTGCTACAAACAAGGCGCATTCATAACTCTGGTTGCACGAAATGAGGTAAGTCTTCTAGGTACGTTATTAGTAACTCATTCAACTTTAAATTAATCAAAGAGGTTGTACCAAACGTCCTGGTGCCGACACCTGTGCTGGAAATCTCCAGTTTGAGGTACGCTTCCTGAACCACGGTTATTTCTCATATTCAGGGCAGTTTCTTGGTCAAAGTCAGACCAGCTCCACAAATACATATTTAGTGCCATCAACGATTAGGCACCATGGACGCTGCTGATTTTGGGGTGGGAGAGGCCAAGAGGAAGCTAGGCAGTACACCTGGCCACAGGAAGCCTGGAGGGCCCTCCGCTCACTGGGGGTGCCGGCAGGAGCATTGTTGGCACTGATAGGATATGTAGATGTTTCTCATTTGCTTATGACATGATACACATCTCTAGTGAAACCAGACCGCACTGAGGAATCTCACTCCTCCCCAGCAATTGAGCAAAACACCTGTTATTCTGTGTTCAGTTGATACAAGGTCTGTTGTTCTTGCCAAAGTTGCTTCCATGCCCTGTGAAGCAGTGCCACTCTGTTCACACAAAGAGTGGGGGAGTCCCCCTTTCTCCGTGGGGTGGGGGAAGTGACCAGGGTTGTATTGTCCACTGCCATTGTTCTGTGCCCGGCATAGTTGGCTCACAGCGTATGCTCAGACATTGTTGTTGAGTGAAGACGGGAAGGGGATGATAGAGGGGATGGGAACGTCAGCGTGGCATCGGTGCCTGGGCACTGGAATGCCCCTACGCAAAGGGAGAGCAGGAGTACCGTGACTGCTCAGATAGGGGGTGCACAGGTGAGCAGGCCTCAGTGGGAGTAGCCGGCCATAGGGGCCTCTGGGGGAAACGTTTAAACAGTGATACAGAATTAGGCTTGGACATCCACTGTTTCTTTTTAAAATCAAGAAAGGCAGGATATACATAAAAGGTATACTGCTGACTTCTCTAACAGTGAATTTGCTTTGACATTCATGCACCTTACAGGAATGGAAACACGACTTTAATAAAAAGGCATTTTGTGAGGTTTAAACATTGCCTGTATTTGACTCCAGGCAGATGGAAAGGGGGGCAGGGAGGCCTGCATTTTGGGTGCTCAGAAGCTCATTGTGTGGTCCTTGTGTGCCTGCAGGTGAACGAGGAGCAGACGGGCTTTCTGGCCTCCAGAAGTCTTTTATTTTCTGATGTAATATTTTATTCTGATTTTCGCAAAGTTGAGTTGTGCATATATTGATTCACAGAACAGTATTATTTTATTATAGACACATTCATGTTTAGAAAACAGGTGTGTCTTTCCAAAGGATTGCCTTCCCTTTTGTGCTTTTCTGCTGTCACGACGTATTTAACCCCTAGAGTGCCGGGGAGCGCGATCGCGCTCCTCCTGTCTTTCGCCAAAAGTGCTGGGAGCGCTATCAAAGCTTCAAAATGGCATCCAGTTCTAAGTCTGCTTTTATTAGTGATGATGATATTGCTAAATATGTCAATGTAGTAAAGGTTTCCTTAAGTTTTTGAATATGTAACTTCATTTACTTGCGATTCATAATTTTTTTCCTAAACTGCTGTAAAATCAGCAAAAATGCCTTGGCAATTTTAGCATAGTTCCTAGGGTATTGGTTGGCACTCAAAGGGTTAAAGTGCATCCTTTAGAGCAAAGGAAGACACTGTAGACCGGTATTTGTCTTCTTGAAAATGCGTGAAACAAGCAAGATGAGATATTGGAAGAATTACTGTTCCATGGACAGCTTTGCTGGTCTAAAGAGTAATTGTGAGAGTAGCCAAGCATGGATTTACCTGGCCCATCTAAAAAGTGATTTTTCTATATTTGCTTTTATAGAATGAGATATTGGAAGAACTACTGTTCCATGGACACTTTGCTGGTCTAAAGAGTAACTGTGAGAGTAGCCAGGCATGGATTTACCTGGTCCATCTAAAAAGTGATTTTTCTATATTTGCTTTTATAGCAGAGGAGGGAAATGTTGGGTGATCTCTCGACATGGAATCACATGTACCCTAATTGCATATCCACATGGTTGTTCTTGTTTATATCAAATGTCAGATCAAAACATTGATTAGAACTGATAGGGTGCCCATCAACAATTAATACTGTCTGTTGGGATTTTTGGAGTTCATTTAGTTTTCTATTATCGTTCTATACAATGAATTTAAAAACTTGCTATTGCTTAGCCATAGCTTAGCGTATGCTACAGCTTCTTTTTTTTCGTTGATGGTGGCCCATCCCTGCGCAACATAGGTGTTGTCTTCGTGTTTTCTAGAATTTAATGAGTACTTACACAAATAATTACTTTTTCTCTCCTTTTAAACAAACAAGCAGATGAGTAGACAATCGCCAGAACTAATAGTTCTTTTTTGCTTTTAGGAGAGGCTGCTGCAGGCAAAGAAAGAAATTGAGAAGCACTGTATTAATGACAAACAGGTAAAACTACTGTCTGCCTGATGCCTTTCCTGTACGAATCAACACAGGTGCATAAAGGGAAAAAAGGGACTCTTCAGTTCTTAATAGTTTACTGGAAGATGTGAGAGTTTTCTACTTAAAATACATACTAGACTGTTGTGAAAAAGGTGAAACTGCTTGAATTGTCTGGAATTCCAGATTATGACAAAAACATATAGACTCTAACACATATACACACACACACACAAACCATCAAAATAACAAAATACTTTGCTGGAAAATTATTTTATTTCAATTATTTATTTAAGTCAACTTGATACCAACACTTAAGGGGAAGGGGGCATTTAAAAATATTTCTGGGTTATGGAATTGTTTGATAGATAAAATGGAGTCTATCTATATATACTAGTATGTATAACTTTTATTAACATTTAAAAAAATGTCACTTGTCTGTGGTATAGGTTTTATTTACTAGTATAGTAAATGATCCAATCCTGCATAAAAAGGCATGTTTAAAAATTAATTCCATGATTCCTACTCCCTTTTTAAACAATTGTTTTCTTTGTGATGATAAGGGATAAAGTCCAGGGCAATCCCTTGAGTCTGGAATATGCCAGGGCACATTTTCAAAGGGGGTGTTTCCTTTCCTTAGGAATTTATATCATTTGGATGGGGTTCCTTGCATTAAGTAAAACTTTCTGCCTGAAAACCCTACAGCCATTGGTCTCTTTTTATTCATCTCTTTGACCTCCCATGTCACAGCTTCATTTCTCACACATGGTTTCTTAGAGCTGGGAGGGATCTTGGTCATCGGGTGTCTGACACCCTTATTGCACAGGTGAGGTCACTGCAGCCTTCCCAGGTTCTGCTCGGAAGTTGATAAAGGGACAGGATTGGAACTCAGCCTTCCCCAGTGCATGCACGTTCTTTCTACCGCCTCGTACCCACACTACGCGTGGGTGCATATCATTGATGTGCTTACATGCCCACCCACACACATACTCTGTCTGCACCTCAGCATGATGGCCAGTGTCAACACGGGAGAATTCATGGAAAGACTGAGAAACCAAGGACACCTTCCTGCTTCTCTCTGCTACCTCCCTGGGAACATGGAAGTTCCTATGTCAGTGACCTAAGCTCTGCTTTGGAAACATTACCCACAAAGGAAAATTAAACAAAAGCTCATTGTTTGTCCCTATTAGTGTTCTTCATTTCTGTCTCATACATTTCTATTAAAGTAAGCACGGAATATATGCTTTCTCCCCCTTTTCTCCCTCACTCTGTTCCTTTTCAAAGACTAAATGGACTTGTTTTCCAAAGTAAAGCACAGGCCGAGGCTTCCCGCCATCCCTCTGGGCTGCGCACCCCCAGGCATGGCTGTTTATACCTGGTGGGCCCCGGGGCTGGGCTCAGTGGCCCCCTTGCTGAGAGAATCAGTTGAGTGGCCAGTCATCCCAGAGGCAGGGATCTCAAGCAAACCTCAGAAGGAACCAGATGTGACTTGGCTCCCTGCTCAGCTCCTGCAGGCCCAGATTGACCCTTGGTCTCCACGATAATGTCCTGTGGCTCGACCTCCGAGCAGGAGCCCAGGCTGAGGTGGCTTCTGCTAGTAGATATTGTTTACTTATCTCTGTATTCCACCGGCTGGTATTCAATCCCAACAGGGCAGTCACAGCTCTGATATTGCTCCAAGGGAAGTCATTCTTTAAACCTATTTGTTAGATTTATTATTATTCTTTTTAGCAACTTAAGATATTAACAACCTGAGATGTGACTTGTGTATTCTTTAATGTATGTAGTCTTTTTAATAACAACTTGAGGTAGAATTTATGTGCAATAAACCACACCCATTTAAAGGTGTACATACATGTGAAACTACCACCGAGATGCAGAGACAGAACATTTCCAGCACCCCCCAGAGTTGGCCCTCGCCCCTGCCTCCCCTCCTGACTGCAGGTGGTCAATGACCTGTTTCTGTTATTGTAGATGAGTAGTGGCATTTCAAGAGGAGCATTTTTTTTTCTATTTCCAGCTGCATTGAGGTATAATTGACAAATAAAAATTGTGTGTATTTAAAGTGTACAACATGATGATTTAACATACGTTTACATTGTGAAATGATTACCACGATCAATTAACGCATCCATGATTTCACATAGTTATTTTGTGTGTGTGGTGAGAACATTTAAGATCTATTTTTTTAGCAAATGTCAAGTATACAGTAGGTCAGTATTAATGACAGCCTTTACGTTCTACGTTAGATCCACAGAACTTACTCATTTTATAGCTGAAAGTTTGTACCCTTTGACCAACATTTGCATTTGTTTAAAACAGTTGTCTACAAAAACTGCTAAGAAAATTAGACTCTGCTAATTGCATTGTCAACAGATTTTGAGTTTGCTCGAAACAATTTTCTATAAAAACTGCCAAGAAAATTAGACTCTGCTAATTGCATTGCCAACAGATTTCAAACAGTGCAATTGGTATATCCAAAATTGGACTCCTTATCTTGTGGAAAGAATTGCCTTTAATTAAAAAAAAAAAAACAAAAATTAAAAAACCCCCTCCAAAACTTTTAAAAATAGTTTCAGATACCTGCATAGCTTTAGTCATTACTTTCTCTTTCTAACAGGTGGTGCTTTGTATATCAGTTGATGTATCCCAAGACTATAGCCAAGTGGAGAATGTCATAAAACAAGTAAGAGGCTGAGCTAATTGGAATTAATTCATATGCCTTTTGTTTGGTTCTTACCATTTTGCTGGGTGGTTTGGAATTGGTAAACCTTCCTAAGAGGTCTAATAGTTTTATAGATTTTACTTATTGGCATTGATTTGCTCCTGAGTGACTCTTCTTTTGTCTTCCTAATGTCTTCTCTGATGCATTTTTCCAGGCACAGGAGAAATTGGGCCCAGTGGACATGCTTGTAAACTGTGCAGGAATGTCAATTTCAGGAAAATTTGAAGATCTTGAAGTTAGTACTTTCGAAGTAAGTAAAAATTTGTTTTTTGATCATGGAGATAGCCCGTACACTAAAAGCAGAGCAAGGCTGCCCTGGCTGCCCATGAAGTGGGTGGAGCTCCCAGAGCTGTGAGGACTGAGTAACCTAATCTGTGCGTGGCGCTTAGCCCATGGTGGCTGCTTACAAATACTAATGTCCTTTCCCAGGTATTCATTCATTCAACCCAAAATACTCTAGTGAAAGCCTCTCATGCATCCAGCATTGTTCTGGGTCCTGGGGGATGCGTGCTGAGCAAGAAGATAAAGTCTGGGTGAGGTAGCAAGACCCCACAGGAGCAAGCAGATAGCAGTGTGATTTCAGACTGGGGTATGTGCTGTGGGGAAAGGAATGGGCTGAGGGGCTCTGTGAGGTGGTGTGGATGGAGACCCAGCCTGGGGGCTGGGGTCGGAGACCTGGGGAACGGGGACAGAGGGACCAGGAAAAAGCCAGTAGCTGCCAGGGCCCCAGGTGGGAGGAGCTTGGCAAACCCAAGGATGGACTGGCAGGCCTGTGTGGCTGGAGCATCCCCAGAGATGGGCAGAGTGGGGCATGGGCCAGGTCTGCTGGGGCCTTGAGGGTTTTAGTCTCAGATGTCTCAAGAGTTTTAAGTTAGGCTAAGCAGTGGTGGGATCTGCATTTTTAAAGGATCCCCCACTGTACAGGGCAACTTTTAGGAGCTTTTGGGGTCACTAAGTGAAGAAATAGTGATGTTGGGAAGTGGATGGAGGTAGAGTACTGGGCAACCACGGAGTGTGGGCTAGCAGGAGGCGGCAACAATTCAGCACAAAGATTCAAGCAGCTGTTAGGGGATGTTGGATGTGAGAACTGGCCTTCTAAAAAGGAAGGACTATCAACCCAAAACCTGGGGCCTCTATTCCAGTGATTGGGCCTCAGACCAGGAGGCCCTCTCTGTCCTTAGTCTCCCTACAAAAAGTCCCTTCCTCCCCTGCCTGCCCTGAATGGAGGCAGCAGGGGACTGTCACCTTCCAAGGCTACTCTGCCCCTCCCATCTGGGGCTCAGTGACTTGCCTTGTTCTGATCAAAGTAGGGGCTTATCATCAATGAGCCTGGTGAGAACACACACCACCACTTTTGATGCATTTTCTGAAGCTAAGAGTTCATTTTTATTCAAAATAAATTCTATCTCAGTTACTTCTTTTGTTTGGCTTCTTGTTGTTAGTTTAATTTTACTGATGTTCACACGCACATACGATGCCTGTGCACACTACTGCACGTGTCGTCACAACTCATTGCCGGGGAGAGTGCGCACGCCCTTTGTGACTGCAGGCAGCGGCTGCCTGGAGACCTGTCCCTGGTGTCCTCTGAACTCTGCCCCGGGTGCCTTTTGCCCTTGCTGATTTTGCTTTGTGCCTGTCACTGTAATAAATCTTAGTTACGAGCACAACTCTGTGCAGAGTCACGCGAGGTCTTCCCGTGATTCATAAAACTGGAGGTGGACCTGGGGACCTCCAGCTTACTTCTCTTCATTTCCCTTTTTAATGCCTCCCTTCGTGGTTTTTGGAGCTGTGTCTTGTTTTCTCTACCTGTGGATATTAATGAGAGTTATTTCACAGTTCTGATTAGGATTACATTGACCCCATAGATCCACTTGGGGAGAATTGACATCTTAATAATATTGTCTTTAACCCATGGACATAGTCTATAGGTTTTCTTTAATTTCTTTCAGCAAGGTTTTGTAGTTTTCAGTGTTTGGGTCTTACACATCACTTTTCAGTATTTCATATTTTTTGATGTAGTATAAATAGTATTCTTTAAAATTTCAGTTTCTGAGTGTTTATTGCTAATGTAGAAAAAGACCGTTGATTTTTTTGGATATTGATCTTACAATCTTGCTGAACTCAGTTAGGAATTCTAGTACTCATTGGATTTTCTACATCAAAGATCATATCATCTGCAACAGTTTTACTTCTAACATTGCCTTCTGGACACCCTTATTGCACTGGTTGGAACTTGTAGCACAGTGGTGAGAGCAGACATTCTTGTCTTGTCCTCAGTCTTAGGAGAAGACATTCAGTCTTGACCATTTAAGTATGATGTTAGCTATAGTTTTGTTTTTGTGTTTTTGGTAGATGTGCTTTATCAAGTTGAGGACATTTTCTTCTATTCCTAGTTTGCCAAGAGTTTTTATAAGGACTGGATGTTGAATGCTTTTTCTGGATCTATTGGGATGATCATAGAGTTCTTCTTTTTCATTTTGTTAATATGGTGAATTACATTGATTAATTTTCACATGTTAAACCAACCTGGCATTCCTGGGATAAATCCCTCTTGGTTATGATGTCTTATCATTTCTAAGTTCTTGAATATTTTTCTTTTCTTGTAATGTTATTTTCTAGTTTTGGAATAAGGGTAATGTTGGCCTTTGAGTAGGGAGTGTTTTCTTCGGTTTTCTGGAAGAATTTGTATAAAGTTGATATCATTCTTCCTTAAGTGTTTGTGAACCAGTGAAGCCTGAGGTTTTCTTTGTGGGAAGGTTTATTACTTTAATATATATATATACTAGAGGCCCGGTGCACAAAAATT